AAAACAGAGCATGGAATCATATAAACAGAAAAATTCCATCTAGATTTACATTACAGAGGAAAAAACAACTAAAGAAAGTACCTACATCATTGTCTCCCGGCATTTTGTCAGCTTCTACCTTCAGTGTACACATATATTCATTTTAACCGCAAAACTGAATAAAGTATTCTAAAAGATGTGATGCAGTTAGCAATCTAAGGGACAAGAGCAGATGATGATGGCGAGCCCATGGATCATGAAGATATTGCTTTTCAGAATTGCCAAGATTGTGAAAAGAAGATCCCATCCGGGAAAGTAAGATTCATTCATTAGGTGAGACTTTTTGACTTTACATCCCTGGGTTTAGCTGTCTTCAGAAATTTGATCCATAGATAATAGATCCTTGATCTGCTAAAGTTGTTCAAAGTTCATTTTAATTACAGGTTTCTAAACAAATAATTATGCCTCTTGCTATGTCTCAGGCATTGGTAAGGTTGGAATTAAAAAATGCTGTATCTAAAACATGGCTGCACTGGTGCAAAGTTACACGCAATGCAGAGTTTTAAAAATTCAAGTGCAGAGCATCAAGATCTGCCACTAGAGGAAATGCCAAGGTGATTAACAACACGCTGAAAATTAATGCTGCAGTACTCTTTAAAAGACATCCACTGAACTTTATTTTCAGTATCCTCTTTAACAAGGCTCTATTATTTTTTAAAATTCCAAGTCTTCCTCTTCTGGCTTTCACAGAACTGATTCACCGTGGCAAAGTAAAACAAGAACTCAACAAGCTCTGTTAAAGCCAAGAACTACATCTTTCCACATAAAATATGAAATTTCCAGAGAGAGAATTTCAACACTGATTCCGTTGTTATTTGGAACACATAAAGATTGAATGCATTAAGTTTTTTTTTTTAAACTTCAATCCACTTTCTAAACTCAGTAGCTAAGGGAAAAATAAGACAATATTCAATGCATAAAATATTTAGCAAGAGAAACAAACCCCACTTCGGTGGCTTAATGTCAGAAAGGGACACTGGTCCAGATGGATTTGTTTTAATTAAAAACAATAGGGACATAAATACATGCTCCAATTTTCCTGATAAGAAACAGCCTTTCTCCTCTGAGGATATTTTTATTTTGTTTTAAACATCTGAAACAAACAACAAAGTTAAATTGGCTTTTAAAGTTTGACATCCCAAGCCTCAAGTAGAAAAGTATAACAGTTTCCTTTTCCCTTATGTTCTAGTTCCAACGGACTCAGTTCCTAGCCTCCTACGTCAACAACCCCTTAAATAATCAGCAAAGGACAATTTATTAATAATTATTCATCATGAGTTTGAGAATCAGATCCCAGGCCAAAGGTTCAGAGGCAAGACTTCACAGGAGGCTGGGCAGAAGTAAGAGAGCCTCATCTTGGACAGATTCAGCCTACGGATTTGACAGTAGAGGCTGCCTTCCGGAGCCTCATGCTTGCTGCCGGGTCCCTACATCCTATCCTCCATTTCTATGCAGCCAAAAGATATTTTTTTAAAAGAAGAAATATAAAGAAATAGGGAAAGAAGGGAGAAAAATGCTTAACTATTTTATCTTTGTTTTGACCCAACAAAAAACACCCTTATGCAAAAAGTATGGTCCATTATCATTAAACAAACCCTAAAACAACTCACAATATTAACTTCAAGTTAACAGTTGCACTTTACCTACAGAAGAAAGGTAGAGGTTGGAACATGCTTTGTATTTCTCTATGGGAAGTGATTTGAAACAGACTGTATCTTATGAAACAACAAAGCAGAGACAATTTCATTAAAACTCTTACATCTAAATCATGTGTAACTTCCCTGTTTAGAGTAAATTACAAATTCTACAGTAAACTCAATTCTGTCAATGCAGCATGGTGAAGTTCGACGCAGCATTTCCATGCTTATTTTCTCTCTCATTAATATTTTAATAAGATTCTGTAGATTTTTTGTCATTGGGTTTTTATAAAAAATAAAAAGTACAAAAACATTTCTATGAAAAAATATTAAGGTGGTGCATGTACTTCAAAAATATGAGACAAAATGGGAAGAACGTTATAGCTTTGGGTAAAGAAGTTTTGACACTAACTTACCAATGGGAATAACCTTCAAATCACCTTCAGGAGAAATGTTAAAGTGAAAGGGTCTAATTTAAAATGAAACATTTTGTCACACGTAGCATAGAGCTTTCATTTTTCTTAAGTGGGAACAGTTTCTCCTTAATAAAGTGACTGTTACAATCCCCTGCATTATCCTGCACAGCCCAGACTGAACCGTACTTCAGGTGACATTGAAGTTACAATTTTAAGCTTAGAGGCACTAGATTTAGCCTAAGTAATTGGCTCTGATTTTGTTTGTACGCATCTCTTTCTCCTCCCTCTGTAACCAGTTGGAAGCTTAACAATTTTTTGAGCTAGTTTAGATACAAGGCAAAACAGGCTAATTGTGAAATTAGACATGTGTTTCCTTGTAAATGTCTCTCTGCAGAGTCATCTCATTGCCAAAGCCCTAAAGAAAACTAACAGCTGAAGCCTGCCCGGCAACCATGTGCTTCCGTTGTAGAAAGCGCTTTCAGAGAATGTACAACAAGAAACTGCCAGGGTTTTATACATTTTAATAAAAGCAGGAAGCAATACATAACTAAAGTATAATTTCTGCATAATTAGCATGTAGTATTCGCTAGATAGCATCCTGCTGAGTCCAACGCTGAGATCCAGGACTTTACAGAGGCAAGGAGAGACAAGGAGTCTTTTCCTTTGTTTGTCCATATGAAAATCTTGAATTTATAACATTCACACGTCAGTCCCCATACTCTGTCACCTGTCTTAACAACTTGAGGCACAGGTCCTCCTTGCCTGAGAGATAACCAACACTCAGCATCTGGGAGCAGCCTTCCCCCCTCACAGCCTGCAGTACTGTGGTACCACATTAATGAAGCAGAGCTAACTCCCTAAATTCATTCCTTCTTTTTAAACTCTCGCTTTCCTTTTAACACAAATGGGCCAAGAGAGTATATAAAAATTAAAAAAATAAAACTTCTGTAAACCTAAACCTTTTCTGATTACTTACTGATTCATGCAACCCTGTCATTTAATAAAATGGGGGCTCTAGCAAAGACGTTGTGAAAAGCTTATTTAAGTCTGGAGTCTGCTTTATAAGCAGTGGGTCTCTTCTCACCTATAACAAGCATTTCACACTTGGTCACTTGTGCTGTGGCCCCCACCCTGTCATTAATCTAGTATTCTGCCCTTCACTTTGCCTTGCTTTGTTCTGAACTTTTTTATCCTGAATTACCCCCAAAGCATTATCCAAAATAAAGGCACATTTTGACAGTTAGAAATGCACCAGAGAAGAGAAAGTCTGGGTAGAGTCCTTGTTTAAATAAACATGTTTTAAGATATGGAAAATCCATACCAAACTATTCACTAAAATCTAAATGGAGGAATATATGACATTTTAAATGGAAGGGGAAAAAATATCTGGGTTTATTCAAGGTTATGATGAGTTTATTTGGCAACTTTTAAAACTAAAATTATTCAGATGCCCTTTCAATCATTGCAGTTACACATAAGAAGTATTGGATTTAAAGATGAAAAGGCAATTGTTTGTGTTCAAACTTAACATAAACTATATATATATATTTTTTTTTTTTTTTTACTTTTCATCTCAGCAGATTTCAAGCTCCCCTTTCCAAGGTGTGTGAGTGTGTATACATATATACACACATATATGACCTTCAAGTTTCAGGCCTCGTATCTGCTGATTTCCTGCATCATCATATGTTAGAAAATTCAAAGTGGGCTCTTCAAGTGTATATATTTCTTTTAACTGACTTTAATGAATTTTGGTTGTTTTCAAAATCTGCAATCTGTTCATTGTGCCAACCCTGCATTGCAGAGAAGTCTTAGCGTGGGATTCCAGCTTGGCTCCTGCAAACAGAGTCACTACTCACAGCCTTTAATTGTATTTACTCGGGAGAGAGGAGGGGGAAGGGAGCTCCCTCCCACCTGCCAACCTGACAATCAAGGCCCGACTAGAAGCCCACCCGCTAGCAGAATTTCTGACGCGGGGCCTGGGCGCTGTCCTAGGTGCTGCCGGCGCCATGAGAGCACAAGCGCCTTACCTTCTGCCCCTGCGGAAGCTGCGGACGTCCCCCAAACGTTAAGCAGAATGTAGCGCCATATCCCACTTTTAATACAAGTCACTACCCCGGCCTGTCTTCTTTGTCCCCTTCCTGGAGCCTTCAGGGCGACCATTCCTCAAGGTCTTTTTTCCTTGTAGACACAACTCTGCACTCATCTCCGGCTGCCTTAAGACAAGGAGTGGGGGAAGGGGAGGGAGGCAAGGGGAGATGAGCATGGGGGAGGGGAGAGGAGCGGACCTGGGGGGAGGGGAGGGAGGGGACGGGGAAGAAGAAAAGATTGAAAGAAAAAGGTCCCGGGGGAGTAAGGGGCTCAGAGAGTAGGGCGGGGTGAGTGAAACTGACCAAGGATCGAAGTAAAAGGAGAAAGGGGCCCACAAAGACGCAAGGAGTGATTAAGTACCAAAGAGGAGTTAAAGCAAAAAGTAACGGAAAGGGGGCAAAGAAGAGAAAAGCGAGGGGCTAAACAGGTGGAGAGCAAGAGGGTCCGAGGAAGAGCTGCCCAGAGGGCGGGAGTTACTAGACAAAGAAACGGCGTTGGGTGGATAGTCTCACCAAGGTGAAAAATGTAATCTGAAGGTGAAAAATGGAGAGAAGGGGATTGCGGGGTCACCAGTGGTCTAGGCCAAAGGGAAGCTAGGAGAGGGCCCGGGACGCGGGCAGCAAAGTGCGGGGTCCGCTGCGGCGCTGGCCCACGTGGAGCGGGCGCTGAATCACTGTTAAGCCGGCTTCCCCCTTCCCCCCGGCCGGGTGCCCGCAGTCCCCGCCTCCTCGGCCGCCGCCTCCACGGGGCGGGGCCCTGGCCCGGGACCAGCTCCGCGGCTATATATGGGCTGCGGCGAGGCCAGCAGAGCGCTGTGACAGCCACACACCCCAAGGCCTCCAAGATGAGCTACACGTTGGACTCGCTGGGCAACCCGTCCGCCTACCGGCGGGTAACCGACACCCGCTCCAGCTTCAGCCGTGTCAGCGGCTCCCCGTCCAGCGGCTTCCGCTCGCAGTCTTGGTCCCGGGGCTCGCCCAGCACCGTGTCCTCCTCCTACAAGCGCAGCGCGCTCGCCCCGCGCCTCACCTACAGCTCGGCTATGCTCAGCTCCGCGGAGAGCAGCCTCGACTTCAGCCAGTCCTCGTCCCTGCTCAACGGCGGTTCCGGGGGCGACTACAAGCTGTCCCGCTCCAACGAGAAGGAGCAACTGCAGGGGCTGAACGACCGCTTCGCCGGCTACATCGAGAAAGTGCACTACTTGGAGCAGCAGAACAAGGAGATCGAGGCGGAGATCCAGGCACTGCGGCAGAAGCAGGCCTCGCACGCCCAGCTGGGCGACGCGTACGACCAGGAGATCCGCGAGCTGCGCGCCACACTCGAGATGGTGAACCACGAGAAGGCTCAGGTACAGCTGGATTCTGACCACCTAGAGGAAGACATCCACCGGCTCAAAGAGCGCTTCGAGGAGGAGGCACGGCTGCGCGACGACACCGAGGCGGCCATCCGCGCGCTGCGCAAAGACATCGAGGAGTCGTCGCTGGTCAAGGTAGAGCTGGACAAGAAGGTGCAGTCTCTGCAGGATGAGGTGGCCTTCCTGCGGAGCAATCATGAAGAGGAGGTGGCAGACCTGCTGGCCCAGATCCAGGCGTCGCACATCACCGTGGAGCGCAAAGACTACCTGAAGACAGACATCTCGACGGCGCTGAAGGAGATCCGCTCTCAGCTCGAGTGCCACTCTGATCAGAACATGCACCAGGCCGAAGAGTGGTTTAAATGTCGCTACGCCAAGCTCACCGAGGCGGCCGAGCAGAATAAGGAGGCCATCCGCTCCGCCAAGGAAGAGATCGCCGAGTACCGGCGCCAGCTGCAGTCCAAGAGCATCGAGCTGGAGTCCGTGCGCGGCACCAAGGAGTCCCTGGAGCGGCAGCTCAGCGATATAGAGGAGCGCCACAATCACGACCTCAGCAGCTACCAGGTAGGAACCGCGGCTGCGCATGCAGCCTGCGCCAGCGCCAGCGCCGCGCGCCCCCGATATTTGGGCGCGCACCCAGGCGCCCTCTCTGTCGCGCTCCCTGGTGGCCGCTCGCCAGTGCGCACGAGCGGCGCACACCCAAGTTAGCGGTGGTCAAGAGTCCTAGCCCATCTCTGCTCCACCCAGCTGTTTGGAAGTCCTGACCTTTTACAAAAACGTGCTGCTTTTCCTCAATCACTCTAGTTTTCTAGCACTTTTCAAGTAGGGGCACTTTCAGGTAGTTGATAAATAAGAAACTTATTAGCATAACTCATTATACAGAAACGCATGTATTCTCTCTCTACTTTTCCGGCAGTGATCCCAAGAGCTCTCAAAATTGAATTCAGCCCAAATGGGGAGTGAGGAATAGGTCCGCTAAAGAGATTCCACACGCGTATTTGTTCCCTTTGAGACGTGTCTTACTCTCATATTGATTTTGTTTGTTGGAGAAAGGGGGCGGAGCAATGTCTGAGAGGTGTGCAGAGCTTCAGGGAGATTGGGGTCGGGTGGGAAGGGGACAGCAAGTGACTCTGAAGAGTCGCTGCTTAGAAGGATGAATCCATAGAGACTCTTTGTCTGTTTCAGGATACCATCCAGCAGTTGGAAAATGAGCTTCGGGGAACAAAGTGGGAAATGGCTCGTCATTTGCGGGAATACCAGGATCTCCTCAACGTCAAGATGGCCCTGGATATCGAGATCGCTGCGTACAGGTAGGGGCTTGCTGCCCACGTGGGCAGAACCCTAACCGCACTGCGGAGGCCATTCAGGCAGAACCTGCGGCACTTAAGTTAAAGCAGGCAGGTTGCAGGAGTCTCCTTGCTTAATTAAGAATTCCTTGAGAATTGCAAATGTGGTTTTATCACTTTTTAATCCAGCTTTTAAAAACGTGAATATAAGTTGAAATGAAGTGTTCTGAATTTTGCTCGAAAGGGGGTCACCACCAATTGATTTCAATATCAGTGCATACATTTTTGTTTTAGTGACAAATATTTTTGATTGCTAAAGCACAAGTGAAATCTTAGTTTTTAGTATTTCATGTGGTGGTTTCAGCTTTTCAAATCTGTAATGTCAAGGACAAATACCAGGACATTCTATTTCTCTGTTTCTCTATTACAGCTTACTATTGCCATCATCTGGCTGAGGGTAGATTTGATACATTAGAATATAGATACATTTATTTTTACAAATGTAGATAATGTAGATGTATTATATTTGTGTTAGACTATATGGTTTAGATTATATATCTATATACACACACGTAGATATATATCATGTATTATACTTACCTACATATATCTAGATCTAGCATTTCATATGAGAACAGGAACATGTAGAACTAACTATATGATCTGTTTATAGATAGACAATTACAGATCTCCTAATTGATGAGACCTTGTTGTTGATGACTAAATTTGAAGTCCAAAATCCTTGATCAAACAGTTTTTCCTACTACCAGTAGGTAAATATAAAATGATAAGAATAAACTGCACTCTCTTTTCAAGGAAGTTAAATCATGATATTAAATTGACAATTTTGATAAAAATCGCAAACCAACTTATTAATTGATACATCCATATTAGCACCTAGCTATAATTTGATATAGCTTTACTTCTAAAATGTGCTTAATAGTTTTGTGAAATATTTTGAACATTATATTTGTTTTAAAACAATGAGTACATATCCTTGAGAGTCCAAATGCTCAAGAAGGTCACTAATGGTTTGGGTTTTGTTTTGGGGGATGGTGGGGGGTGGCTGCTAAGGAACTTTTTAGCATATTCATATTGCACCAAATGAACTGCTGCTGCAGACCAAGGCTTTGGTGGCTGGGTGTGGTTAGTGGACCACTGGGAGTGGTTAGTTACTGCAGCAGGCAACCAACCGGCTGGCAGTTCAGAAGAATCTGTCTCTTGATGACAGAGTATAACAGTGAAATGACAGCAGGCCCTACACTGGCTCGATGGAATGTTTTCCTTATGTGATTCTGTTTATTCAAAAGCAGCTACTACAACATTACCCATAATTAGTGAGGCTCAGAAGGCCGATGAGATTTCGGTATGTCTTGTCTTCTTTTTTCCTTAGAAAACTCCTGGAGGGCGAAGAGACCAGATTTAGCACCTTTGCGGGCAGCATCACTGGGCCTCTGTACACGCACCGGCAGCCCTCAGTCACCATATCCAGTAAGATTCAGAAAACCAAAGTGGAGGCTCCCAAGCTAAAGGTGCAGCACAAGTTCGTGGAGGAGATCATCGAGGAAACCAAAGTGGAGGATGAGAAGTCCGAAATGGAAGACGCCCTGGCGGCCATCGCCGAGGAACTGGCAGTTTCTGCGAAGGAAGAGGAGAAGGAAGAAGAGGCGGAAGAAAAGGAAGAGGAACAGGAAGCCGAAGAAGAAGCCGCACCTGCCAAAAAGTCTCCAGTGAAGGCTGCAGCCCCTGAAATCAAAGGAGAGGAAGAGGGGGAGAAGGAGGAAGAGGAAGGCCAGGAGGAGGAAGAGGAGGAGGAGGAGGGTGCCAAGTCCGACCAAGCTGAAGAGGGAGGGTCTGAGAAGGAAGGCTCTAGCGAAAAAGATGAAGGTGAGCAGGAGGAGGAGGGGGAGACGGAGGCAGAAGCTGAAGGGGAGGAAGCCAAGGCTAAGGAGGAAAAGGCTGAAGAAGTGGGTGCCAAGGAGGAGCTGGGAAAGCCAGAGAAGGCCAAGTCGCCGGCGCCCAAGTCTCCAGTGGAAGAGGCGAAGCCAAAGGCTGAAGGCGAAGTGGGGAAAGAGGAAGACCAGAAAAAGGTGGCCAAGGAGGCCCCCAAGGAGGAGAAGGTAGAGAAGAAGGAGGAGAAGCCAAAAGATGTGCCAGAGAAGAAGAAAGCCGAGTCCCCAGGGAAGGAGAAGGCTGAGTCCCCAACAAAGGAGAAGGCTGAGTCCCCAGCCAAGGAGAAGGCTGAGTCCCCAGCCAAGGAGAAGGCTGAGTCCCCAGCCAAGGAGAAGGCTGAATCCCCAGGAAAGGAGAAGGCTGAGTCCCCAGGAAAGGAGAAGGCTGAGTCCCCAGGAAAGGAGAAGGCTGAATCCCCAGGAAAGGAGAAGGCTGAGTCCCCAGCCAAGGAGAAGGCTGAGTCCCCAGCCAAGGAGAAGGCCCCAGAGGAGGTGGTCAGCAAAACCCCAAAGGTGAGCTTGGAGAAAGATGCTAAAGAAGAGAAGCCTCAGCAGGAGAAGGAGAAGGTGGAAGAGGAGGGAGGGGGTGAGGGGGAAGGGAGCGACCAGGGTGCAAAGGAATCCAGGAAGGAAGACATAGCGGTCAATGGGGAGGTGGAAGGAAAAGAGGAAGAGCAGGAAACCAAGGAGAAGGGCAGTGGGAGGGAAGAGGAGAAAGGCGTGGTCACTAACGGGCTAGACGTGAGCCCCACAGATGAGAAGAAGGGGGACGACAGAAGTGAGGAGAAAGTGGTGGTGACCAAGAAGGTAGAAAAGATCACCAGTGAGGGGGGCGATGGTGCTACCAAATACATCACTAAATCTGTAACCGTCACTCAAAAGGTCGAAGAGCATGAAGAGACCTTTGAGGAGAAACTAGTGTCAACTAAAAAGGTAGAAAAAGTCACTTCACACGCCATAGTAAAGGAAGTCACCCAGAGTGACTAAGATTCGAGTCCATTGCAAAAAGGTTAAGCCATATGACAATTTCAAAATGCATGTGATTGACAGCTTCAAAACAGAACGGGTTCTCCCATGGGGGCTCCAGACATTGTATTTTACTTTGTGCAATATGAGGGAACTGCATGCAAGCTCAGGGTGCTCCCTCCTCAGTCTTTGGGGGATTCAAATGCATGATATTGTATGTACCTGGGGAATTTGCCAATTTCCCAAGCTGTTGGAAGGGGGGCGCTCAGGGGGGGGGGATGTCTTGAGATGTATTATGCAAAGTACCAACTGAGCCAAAAATAATAAATGAAACACAGAACTCTCTTAGCCTTAAGAAAGCTATATATGAATAATTATGTTTACCTCACTGGTGCATTTAAAATGGACTTTTGTTCATGGGAGAACCTCGCTGACATGCACAGTTTGCAACCTTATGTTGATCGATGTTAAACGTCACAGCAGTACTTGCTCAATAAAGGTCATATTGGAAACATAGTCGATTGCTTGATGTTGTGTCATTTCACAGTGAAATCTCTGCAACCTGAAGCTTTCTTTCCCTGAAATAGATCATGGGTGGGAATTGTGAGGGAACTAGACTTCTTACCACCATTTCCCTGAGAGTGTCTACTTGGAAGACGTAATTGCTGAAGGTGTTTTCGGGTGTCCAAATCTTTATTTAACCCAAGCCTCATTCTAAAAATTTTAAAACTATATTCCTGCAATAGAAATAAAAGCACTCGAATAAAAAAAAAAAAAAAGAGGTTTGGTGGGATAGAAGTCTCCCTGTTTCCATCTCCAGACAGAACTCAGAGAACTTCAGATGGGAGGAGCAATAACAGGGTTTTTCCTTGTGCCTTGGGGGTTAGTCACAGACCAAGGGTACTGTGGCATTAGCTCTGTCCAGAAGGAATAAGGCTAAAATCACTAACACACCTCACAGGACATAGCCACGCCCCAGGGTCATGCTCACACATGCACACACCTGAATCTCTGGTTCTTGATTTGGCCAGTAGAGAGTTGTATTTCTATTGTTTTACTAATGGGGGAAAAACAATGTCAAAAGTAAATAAAGCATCCTCCTTGAGAAAAGAAAGACAAAATTCTCTGACACAGGCAATAAGTGTTTTTAGACCACAGAAATCCTGCATTCCCTTTTCAAAATATATTTGCTTTAAAACTTCACAAGTGTTAATTAGGATATTACCTTTTGCAAATGCTAATTTTTATTATTAATAAGATCAACCCAGTGATATAATCCTTAACATGCTTTTTAGTGGTCTATCAAGATATTCCAATTTTAAAGCCTAAAAGTAGCCAGGAACATCACTGTTAATAGCAGTTTTTGCCGTGATGACTCCTAGTCATTTAACCATTCACAAATAATACAATTTTTTCTATATCTACATAACACCTGTACAATTATTTATTTGCATCTTTTAAAATGACTCCTTTTATATTAAAAAGCTAATTTTTCTGAAGTAATAATGTCCATGATACCCAAGGTAAAACAGGATTATTTAAATATAATCAGGAAAAGGGACCCTGTGTTGAATTGAAAAATAAAAAAGAGCATATTGGAAGGATAGCAGGTAAGTTCTATAATGAGAAGATCAGCAGAGGGAGCAGGTGCTGAGAAGGAACAGCCTCCCAGAGACAAAGGACACTGGAATCATCACATATGGGTCCAGTTGAACTCAAACTTCAGTGTTGCTTCATTGAAATTTTAGGAACAGAGTGTCATATATTTGTCTCCCATGTTGAGCACCAAAAGGAGGAACACCTTGATTGACAATCTCACCAAAACTGACTCCAATGATGGAAAAGCAAGTTTCCCCACAAAAGGTCGAGAACTGTTATCAGAAATGAGAGCAGGGACTGTACATGGTCTGTATACATTTTTTAAAATATCTATTAAATATACAAATATTACTATAAAAATCCCCTCTTGCTCCTAAAATCATCTCACTAAATGAGAATACTTGTGTTAGTCCCTGGAGCATAAACACCCCCACACACACATACACCCTTTTGTAGCATATACTGTTTAAAAATGGTAAGATCAATCAACATAACTCTCAAAAACCAAAAAATAAAGACTTATCTCATCAGCACTAACTTTTTCAGCTCTTTTTCCCTCTAAGAATACTTCTATGTATTCTAAAAGACAAAATCATTATTCTGATTTTTCCCAAAGGAAAACAGGAGCTATTTTTAAGTGAATTGTTTTTTTAGGTCTACACAAAATTTCTCCCTTTCCAGGGCCCCTCTAGAGGAGTAGAACTTTAAAAATAATAGAACAACATTCTTTTGATGTCATGCAAATATTTCCAAATAAATCCAATTGCCTGCTTGATTAATGAAGTCAACAGATGTTACTAAAGACTGGGGTCTAGAAATAACAATGGTCTTCTTTTCCGGAATTACTTATTCTGTTGTCAATGCCAACTGTTACACTATTATTTAAAGAGAAAGCAATTTGAAATTCATGTTTCCAAATATATTCAGTGATGACAGGAAGAACCGGCATTTAAGCTAAGCACAAACCAGGAAATTAGAGTACCCTCTCTCTGACTGCAGTCAATATCTGGCTTCAATGCCATTAAGCCATTGAAAATTAGAATTTCTACTTTGCCAGTAGATTGCTTTAAAGATACTATTTCATTTTATATAATGTGAAATATCTCAAAGCTATTTTTTCTCAAATTTTAAATATAAAGAAACAAAAAAAATTAAAGTCTTTCTCTGGGTCACACACACAGTAGATGATGGACCTGGGATTTTACACAGAGTACATACTCCTAGCCCCTATACTCTGCTGCCCCTCCAGCACATCCGAGTGCCACCTCACTTTTTACTGAAGTTCAGTTGTGGTCATTTCTTTTTTTGTCAGACTGAAAGAAAGCAAACAGAATCATGCCTTCAATATGTCATTTGTTTAAATATATCTTTAGTTGTTGATGGGCCTTTATTTTATTCATTTTTTTATATGCAGTGCTGAGAATCAAGCCCAGTGCCTCACACATGCTAGGCAAGTGCTCTACCACTGAGCCACCACCCCAGCCCTCAATATTTAATTTAACGACCATCTATCTTTTCACGGTCTATGGCACTGTGAGAATAAATACTTAGATACAAAATATGCAGTGATTCCTTCTACCACACAGTTTGCAATGCACAAAAATGTGGCAAATACTTTTCTTACAGTAACTTTTATATTCAATTTTTTTTAAAAAAGGAAAGTGCTATTTCTAGTGCATTTCTTTCTAGTGCCAGTCAGTGCAGAGACAGTATTAAAACATGAGGATATTCATTTCCACAACAAATAGGTTGGTTGTTCCAGTTTGGAACAAGTTCTTTTTTTCCTAGTGGTTTATATAATTTACCCAAAGGAAAACAGGAGCTATTTTTAAGTGAATTGTTTTTTTAGGTCTACACAAAATTTCTCCCTTTCCGGGGCCCCTCTAGAGGAGTAGAACTTTGACAAAAGTATTGGACTAGAGTTCAAGTCCCAATCCTAGACGGTAAAGCTGTGTATCTTGGGACCATTGCTGCCTCATTTCCTCAGCTGTGAAGTTTGGCTGCTGAGGCAATTCAGGGAGATGACATCCATGATAGTACCTAGCACTGTCACAGGCACATAGTAGTGCTCAAAAGCATTTGGTGAACATATTCAATTTTAAACTGGATCAAAGCTATAAGTACAGACTTTAATTAGAACATAAGACATGAATTGTTCCTTTAATTTCCTTACATGTGATTTCAATACAAATTCTAATTACAATGTTTAAAAAGTGATGGACATATCTGTGGAGGTATATAGAACATAACTATCTGAAACTAAAAGGAAGTTATCCTCTTTTTCCTGCAAGTTTCTTTCTAATCAGGGCTGTTTAGTTGTCTCTGAATTGGACTTCTGAATGGCTTAAGTCAAATTGCAAATGTAGAACTCATCAAGTCTGACAAACAGCAGGTATCACTAAATAGAAAATTCTCACTGCCATCGTCGTCATTATTACTACTAGTTAAAAATCAGTAATGAATACAGTCATGTTATTTTTATTAGATTGTTGTGTCTATAAGAGATGCACACAAAAGCTCAGCTTTAACAGAGGTCAAGAAGTGGAAGAATAGATATCTTTGCACTAAGATTTACTTTCTATATGCACATAGAATCACAGCATCCTCGAGGTTGGATTAGCTTCTAATATTTAACCCACTTTTCTCATGTCTACAAGGTCGTTTCCTAACCCACAGCTGAAGATCCACAGGGACAGGGTGGCACTCTGTGGAAAGCTATCCCAACCAGCAGCTTTGACCATTTGCAAGGTCTTCTGTTGGCTGCTCTAATCTCTGACCTCACCTACCTTTCACCCACTGGTGCAAGTCTGGGGAATCCTAGAATTCCTCTTCCCTACTCCCCGGAATGGATGTTCAGAGAGATGAAGACCTGGGCCCAAATCCAAACAATTCCTAACAGTAATGCCAATTGTATTTACTACCTACCAAGAGGTTTTAGCACTTTCTCTATAATGAATCATTGAATCCTCATAACAAATATATATGTTATTATTTTCATCACTATTTTCTGCAAAAGTTTGGGCAAAAGGAACCCAGGTCCTTCTTATATCACACCCATGCCTTTTCTCCTATATATTTTATAGACTAAGAACAGCAAGTATATATAATTATTCTTGCTCATGCTTGGAATGCAGCTTCTACCTGTTGGGCCTAGACTGTCCTAAATGGTCCCTATTCTCCAGTTTTTAGTTCGTGGAGAAATTAACTGACTTTCAGGACGTACTACTCTAAAACATTGTTACATAAATGGCAGAAATATCACAGTCAACAATCGGTTCCCCTGGGTGACAGTGCAGGTTCCATTATCCTGTGCCTGCGTATATAACATTATTTTGTGGAATCCTCTTTACCAGAAATAATATATTAAGATTCCAGTTGGTGCCTGAGGCATTACATGTCTCTCCTCTCTCTCTCTCTCTCTC